GGGAAACCATCAAATGCAGAGGTGCTTAGAGCAAGGTGCCTTAGAAGGGTGTAGAGGGGGGCCAGCAGGTGCTTCCGTCACTGGGCTTCCATGTACTGCACCTCCATTTGAGACCTGGACCCAGGGCTTAACACTCACGCCAGGTGCAGGTGTGCGCATGTCCAAGATCCTGAGAGCAGAAGGAGAAGGGACTGCGGTGCGGCCATTCCCCTGTGGAGGGTTTCTCGCTTTCTGTCTCTGTCTCAATGGCGAGTGCACGTGCCCTGCAGCAGTAATCTCTTATTAAAAAAGAAAGAAAAACGTGTGGAGCTGGCGGCCCCTTTGGGAGAACACTGTCCAGGCCCCTCTGTGTGTTCGAGATTGGGAATTCCCGTGACTCCCATATTCCACGAATTTTAAGACACGAAGGAGGATTACTTCAATGTCCTGCTCTTTTGCTTGTCTCTGGGGATGGTGTTAAAAGTTCTATGTTTCTGGTACCAGCAGTCGGTATAATGGTTATGTCGCTAGACTCCCACATAGTCAACTGCCGTTTGAGTCCCGGACCTGGTAGCTTAAACTCAAATCGGGTGCTTTTGCGTGTGTGCCCAGTATCCTGAGATGAGGCCAGAGGAGAAGGGATTGCAACGTGGCCACCGCCCCCCGGGGGGGGGGGTGATTTCTCACTTTCTGTCTCTCTGTCTCTGTCTGTCTTTCTGGCTAGCGCACATACTCTATATAGCATAAGCCTCTGCAAAAAACAAACAAACAAAAAACTTCTATGTTTCTAATCCTGACATTGTTTCTGATGACTAGTCCCAACCTAGGAAACTATAAATGTTGTCTTTTTTGAAACCATGGTAAGCCATGTGGGAGTCCAGCACCACCACTGCTATGCCAACTGCTGGCCCAACAGCTGGTGTGTTTTCCAAGCCACAGGGGTTGGGAATTTTAAATTTCTTGGTTGTCCCTGTGGAATTGATCTCCTTAAACACTAGACCAAAGAAGTGACCTAGCATTTCAGCTTTTGGTTAAAATGTTTTGGATATAGAAGGTTGATGCCTGCTTTCTCACTTTCTCTGTCTCCTTCATAAAATTTAAAAAAAAAAAAAAACAGTTGTCAAATTAAAGAAAAAAGTAATGATGGATAATTTTTTTTTTGTATTTTTTGCAGAGGTTTTTGCAGTAGGGAGCCTGCACTCACCAGAAAGACAGACAGAGACCGAGAGGCATGAAGCGAGAAATCACGCCCCAGGGGATAGCCATACTGCAATCCTTTCTCCTCCATTCTCCTCTCAGAATCTTGGGAACGCATGCACACGTGCCCAGCATGAGTTAAAGCACCAGGACCGAGATTCAAACTGCGGTTGACTACATGGGAGTCCAGCAACATAGCAATTAGGACAAATGCTGGTCCCAATTATGAATAAAATTAAGTAAATAATTCTTTAAATAGAATTTTTATACATTTTTTTATAGGTTATCGTTGCTATTGCAGACAGTTTGTTCTTTTTTATTTTCAGTTTGTTTTTGGTATATAAGAAACTTTATTCTGGCCTGCAGATGGCGTTGTGGTTATTTTGCTGGACTCCCACATGGCAGGCCCTTAGGTTTGACTCCTGGACCTGGAGACTTGAAAATCATTCCTCTAGGAGGTGAATGGTGAAGAAACGATTACACATTCTTTTTGTCTCCTTTTGTGTCTCTCTCCTATGAGCGCATGTGCCGTATGGCAAAAACTTATAAAAGGAAAAAAATTATATTAAAAAAAAAGTTTTTTCTGTTCATTTGATATCATAGAAATTTACCATACTCCTTTGAGCTTTTTTTCCCTAGCTAATTTTATTTATTATTATTATTTTTAAAATTCATTTGCGCATTCATTTATTTTAATTTGACCACAGAGATAGAGAAAGGGAAAGTGAGAAAAGGCAAGCCACCAGGTCCAGGACTCGAACCGTGGTCAGCCATGAGGGCGTGTCTAGTATCCTAAACACCATGCCACCTGCTGGTCCCCTTATTTATTATTTTTTCTTTTACTATAAGGCATGTGTGCTCACCAGAGAGAGAGAGTGATAAAGCAAGCTGCCATGTCTAGGACTCAAACTGCATTCGGCCATGTGTGAGTTCAGAGCCTTACCCTCCATGCTGTCCACAGTTTCTATAAGCTTTAGTGAGAAATCTTACGGTTTTCCTCATTTACATCATATGATTGTCAATACACACAGCTCAAATTCGTCTTTTCCACTTGAAGTGACCTGAAGTTCTTTTCTTTGCCTAATTGCTGTGGTAGGACTTGTTGAACATGGACTCCACCTGCTGGTGAAGGGGTACCAGCTATGGTCACTGTTGTGTTGACAGGCACGGAAGATGAGGCCCATGGGTGAAACACAGATGGGGTGGAGGGTTCTGATTCTTTAAGAACCAGCACCAGGAGGCATGAGCAGGAATCTACAGTTCCCGGATGGGGGCAATATAGTGCATAGATGACCTCCCAGTCCAGAAGGTTGAGTCACCAGGGAAGAGAGGGTCTTGAGTTGCAGGGAGACACACAGGTTGGTTCACCTGATTGAGAGTAGAATCAATAGTGTGCTTGGTCCCCTGCTTCCTGGAGTGCGGTGCCTTGTGGGCTGTGGTGGCACATAGTACTTATGGCACTGGGTTCAGCTGGGGTGCCACCACAGTAGCCTTTGCATGGGTGTGCTGGTCTGACAGTGGGGCCTCAGGCATGTGGAGATGTCGAGAGTCGAGACTGTTGGACCCTCAGGACAGGATGCACTCAGGTTATGATTGCGTAGTCAAATGGGACTCAGCTGTGGGCTTGTATCTCAGGGATGGCGATGCACATGAGTTCTGTGGGTGCAGTTACCCACCTGTGTGGACAGCTTGCTGCTTACAGTGGGTTCACGGAACGTGAGGACTGGACGTTTCCCGTAGCTGGGACTCCACACATCCACAGTGGACATGGGGATGGCTGCGTACCATCCGCTCCTCGTCCCCTGTAGACGGGAGTTCCTCTCAGGTCCCAGCTGAAACCAGCCGGGTGCCTCATTCTTCTTTCTGTGCTCCCATAACAAGTCTCCTTGTCTCACATGTCTTTTCTCGTTCCTGGGTGAACTTCGGAATTCTCTTTTTCAGGCGCTCAAAGCATTGAGTTGTCAGAAAAGTTATGATGTATTTTTTCTGTGCAAAAATGCTTCATGACTCTTCCCAAAACCCAATACATAAATTTATTTCTCGTTTTTGTCCTTTCTGGAGGAGAAAAGGGTCTTGATTACCTCTAATCATCCATGTTCACTCCTTATTCAGTGCCCTTATTTTCTTTATGAGAGAGAGGCCCGGAGGGAAAGACCCAGAAATAGGTACCTTGGCAGGGTATTGCCATGTCAGATTCTCCTGCCCAGGTCCTTCGGTTTATGTGGGAAGACAGGCACGTAGCACCATGCCTGCTTCCTTTCCTGCTGGGCGGGGACACAGCTCAGGCTTCCCGTGTGTCCTCGCTGATGCGCATCATCACTGTTCTGCTTGCACCGCCACGGCTGACCGCTGGTTAATTTTTAATGACACTTTTAAGTCTAGTTTTTGATTATTTTCTGTGTGTATAATGTTATTGAGTTACAATTACAAATTTTCACAAATACAGGTTTTTTCTATTTTTTTAAGAGAGACTTTGGATATAGGGTGCATGTACTTGCTGTAAAGACAAAGAGAGTCAGAAAAACAGGGAGACATAGTGCCCCGTGAGTACGGCCAAGCTGCAACCCCTTCTCCTCCATTCTCCTCTTGAGATTTTTTGGGCACACACGCACACATGCCTGGTGTGAATTTCAAGCAGCCAGTTCCAGAACTCAAACCGTAGTCGACTATACGGGAGTCCAGTGACATGACCCTTATGCCATTTGCTGGTCCTCATATATAGTTTTTAATTACTTAAGGTTGCCGTGGATAGTTCACTGTTACGGTATGTCGTGCTATGGTTTTGCATTTATTTGTGCCCAGTAAGTCTGCTGCCAATATGTTTAGTATCACAATTTTTCTCTTCATTTATGACATCCATATCTTTTTTGCCAATTGGTGTACACCTCAGTCTTAGAAGGGAAAATACTTTGAGATTCAGAGCTCCATACACTGTTACTATTAAGTCTTGTTCCCTGCAATTCTTTTGACTTACAGTCACTCACCATTTTTCTTTCTTCAAGGATTCTCTTTGTTCTCCATCAAAGTAGAGATCTCAGGCCAGCAGATGGGGACACTGGATCTCACATGGCCGGCCTT